GCGATATTTATCATGGCCGACGCTTGCGCGCAGTTCCGCGCGTAATTCGAGGAGAGTTCAAGGTCAACCAATTCGGGCGTGGGAAATATGAACGTTAACACACCGATTGTTATCTGGTCTCCTCCAGTTCAGGTGTTATCTCGTCCCATCAAACGTGTTTTGGCGGATTGGCGTCGGCCATGATGATTATTGCCGACGATGGAACGACTCCTCTTACAAAATGTTCACCTGTGCCGTAGTATCGTTTTTGAAGCGGGAAGCTCAAAAAACCGCAAATTTCTTACGCAGACTGTGAAGTTCTGAGTGCATTTTAGACTTTGCCGATGCGCTCATCGTGATTTTTGAGGCATTATCTATAAGAAACAACTCTTATTTTTGCTCTAGCAAAAGTTTGCAACGGGCCCATTCGTCGAAACTGCGCCTGGGTGGACAAAGCCTACTAGTTTAGCGGTTGGATCCTGTAATTTTCGGAGCACGAATCGTGTTTTGGGCGAGATTATGACTGAAAAACAGATATCAGATAGCTTAAATTCAAATCTTGCCCCCACTTGTCCATTTTTATTCCATTCACAGACTACCTCAAGTTCCCTGACGATATTCAACCTACAGGAGAGAAAATTTTCTCCCTGTTACGAGGTTGTCTTCGCCTGTTCCTGGCATGGCGGACGAAACATTTGAACGACGATGTGGTTTTGAAAATGTTGTTTAAATTTTGGCCCATATCATAAAAAGGAAACAGTAATATAATTTCGTGGAAATTTTCCCATCAAAAGATTCATCATAGTCATTTGGAATGTGTTAATTAAATATTGATATATTTATCTTCCCTTTTTTAAATGTAATTCTTCCACGTGATTCTTGAAAACAGAGAAAATTGACATCATAGAGTAATCTGTCTGGTTAACTTGTACAAATTACGTCTATTTTAAAGTTGGGACTATTTCACTGAGGATACAGACGTTTTTGCACACCACTCTTGCCGCGGCATGTCAAGTTTTTTTTGTGTCTTTTTGGTAGAAAGCAGATCCATGCAATCTGCTTCGTGGAGCCCATTTCATTCAGACCAGGAAAAGTCGTTTACGAGGAAAAAAAATGACTGATGGATCCGCAAACATTTTTACGGGGTTAAGCTCCGGTGCCACGTTGCCGAATCTGTACGAGAGATCGTGAGTTCAGGTCAAATCAAAAGTTTTGCACTTACGTGGATTGTAACTATTACTACTGGAAGGGTCAGGAAAAAGTGGAAAATACAAAAATTGTATGCTTACCATTAGCTCCAAATTGGATAAGTATGTGCCTGATGTATCCTTCAAGATACGAGAGTGTTTTCTCTTGAGTATTTGAGCTCCAGTTTTCATCTCAACTTGATTAAAAACGCTCTTTTGGAAAATTTGCCCCAATACACAAAAATTAGATCACTATTCAATTTGACTGACACACAGAATTTGGTATTCTAGTAAATTGGATTAATCAAATCAACGAATGCGGAAATCACCAAGTATAACTTTAAAATGTTCAATGTGGCCGTTGAATTATTCATACAATTTTGAATTAAGCAGCCTTTGGAGCTTGATGTCCAGTGTTGTGAACATGTCAAGCGCTCTGAACATCATCGCAATTATTTGGTGTATAATATCTCGCTGGTCAACGATATCCGCTGTTAAATCCGGCAGGCGCAACAAAAACGACCCGCTTGTGAGAACGTAAGTGTAGCATTTGATGCATATCTGCCATGTTGAAGGCGCTACGCACGATGTGCGCTCATGATTCGGATTCGAGCGAGTTTGTTGCATATAAGGACTGAGTTAAGCAGAAAGGAATCAACCCACATTTTGGAAAAAATTGAGTTTTGAGTGGTTTTGAACTCAACCACTGCTCTACTATCCATCGCCAAAAATTCAAAGTTTTTGTTGGAGCAAATTTTGCAGAGATTGAACTTGAAGTTTATCTTTTACATTGAGTCTTATGCAGGAGCCAAACTTTAAACCTCTTTTTCTCGGTTCGATCCCGATGTGGCTTGGTTCCTTTCTGTTTAACTCCGTCCATAAGAGATAGGCCGTCCTGTGGTTCCGGTTGGAGCAATAAAAACGATCTACATTTGAGGTCGTAAGTCGATGGTGAAATTGTTATACCACCCATCTTGGATAACCCGATTTTTCAGGGGAGCAAGAAAACTGTTTCCCTTCCTTATTTTTGATGATTAAAAGTTAATAATTTCTTGAAGATAGAGATGATTAGCAAAAACCTTATTCAGAAAAAAAAAATAGAAAAAAACCAATCGAGCCACTCCTAAACTTTCTTGATTCATATTTACGATAAAATAAGCTTTCAAAGTTACCAGGTTTGGCCCGACTTTTCCCATTCACTCGATCCAATGCGCGCCATTGCATATAAGGTAACCCGCACTGCATGTAAAAAGTATAGGTAGCAGGTTACCTTTTTAAATGATTATTCTAATTTCTGATGAAAAAGGTAAATTTCCTTCTTTCGATGGAGGGATTTCCTTAAATGGACGTATCTCTACCAAACAGACCTACGTGGAGGTGAGAAATATGGGGTGTGCTGTAGAAATCTGCATAAGAAGCAATGTAAAAGTGGGCGTGATTCCTTTTGAAGAATTGGAAAAGCGGGATATTACATTCTATCAAACGGACCTATGTGCCAACTGAATGCGGGATTCATGAGCCGCGGGCATGGCAAGAGAGCCTTGTGGACAGGGCTCATGAGTTAATGCCCCCCGACGACGACGACGACGTTGCGCCGAGCAGCTTTTTCATTGCCGCTGACGTCACTGGCGCTTTAATATTCTCATTCACTCTTACGGCCAGAGAACTAACGAGAATACCCCATATTTCTCACCTCCACATAGGTCTGTTTGATAGAAATACAAATACAAGTATGAGCAACATCGATGACATCTCTTGCCCGCATTCGTGCATCATTCCGTTATTTGCTGACATCTGACACAGACCTACCTGTCACTTCCTTAAGCGGGTGACTATGGCCTGAGGCTGCCTTACTCACCTCGACTGCGGTCCTCAGTAGATCATTTAGTTTGCGACGGAAAAAACCAGTGGCGTGGCGTGAATAATCGATTATCGATATCTCGCCATTTGAAACTGCGGTAAAGAATCGATTATCAGGGTGTTCGCTGTGAACTCCCTAATAATCGATCTTTTCTCATAGGTTTAAATGCCATAACAATCGATATATCGCAATTCACGCCACGCCGCGCCACTGAAATAAACGTGAAGTTGATTTAACATTCTGAATGTAAAAAAAGAGAGTGAGAACTTATGAAATGCTGAATTACCCGCTACAATAACAAACAGTTAATTCAGCAATGCGAAAATGTAAAACTAACTGATGTGGCAGGTAATTCAGCATTTTCAAGTTCTTGCACACTTTTTTACGTCCAGATCGTTAAATCAACTTCACTTTTTTTCGGTGTGTGCTTTGCATCTTAAAGTTGAAACACTCAGTGCAAAAGCTTCAAAAGCGCATAATTACCCAATCGCACGCGCTCCAGTTGGCGCGATTTACGAGGTTGCGAGTAAGGGGGGGAGGGATTTTGTCATATTTTTTGATATTTTTGCCCACAAAATTTTTGGATGAATATGTAAAATATCTTGAAAGATAAAAAGTTTGCTTGTTTTTCTGTTTTTGGGTTGTTTGTTTGGGCCTACGGAGAGAAGTACGAAATTGAAATTTTTGGTAAAAATGGGGGAGCGTCAATTCTATTTGAGGAAAGGCTCCCTAAAACTCTCTGCACCTCTTTGATTCAACTAGACTTAATTATCTTTCAAGGAAATCCCATCTTATTATACCTGAACCGGTTGAACCGTTAGATTTGCGTCAGCTGAAGGCTCTTTCTTTTCCTGTGTCGGAAAACTACGCGACGGCGCGCGGCGCGGCGCAAAATATGTAAATTACGAATTAACGCTGCAACACAACCACGAACTTTGTTGATTTTTCAATGAAGTACCTACAGGTAAAAGTAAAGGTAAATGCGATGTTCTAATTTATTAAGCATTTCAGCTTCATTTGAAGAATAAAAATCCATTTTCTTAGCTATTTACTTTTGTTTATACGAAAAATAAAATCAATGAAACCAAAATCCTCAGTGCTGTGTTGAAACTGGTTGTGAAACCCGAACTGGAGCCCAAACCATGACATGCAAGAAGCTGGAACCTGCACTAGAATCACAAATCAATAAACTTGTTGCACGTTTCAGCTAGGGTAAAAGGAAGAGTAATTCTTCATTGAAAATGGCTTAAATTCACAATGAGCGCATCGGGAAATTCTAAAGCACGCCCCTGAAATCACATTCTGCGTATAAATGCGCATTTTTTTAAGCTTCCCGTTTCCAAACGCTACGCCACTGGCTCTGCGTGATTTTTGAGCCATTTTTCGAAAGGAGCAACGATTCGCTTTGCTCAGGACAAAGGAGGCTAATTATTGAAATTGATATACAAAGCAATTGACAAAGAAGACAAAAAGGATATGGAGGGATCCTATTGGTGGAAGCGGGTGGTTGCAATAGACAAAGGACGGATGTAATAAGCCAACTATGGCAACCCACGAGAGACCAGACAGTTAGTCCATCATTTACCCCCTTAGTCTATAAGAACCACCCATCTCAACCAAGAGGATCGTCCTACACTCCTCATGTCTTTTTTTTTTTTAACTACCTCAAATAGCTCACAAGGGCTAATCCTCGCGCCTTACTCCCGTCCCCCTCTGTCCCTACAGCCAACTCCAGGCAACCATTATTTGGACTACATTTTGCAATTTGGAACTACAAACTCTAGCCCGGTTTAAAAGCAACGTATGTGCCATCAGTTTCCCTATGCACATAAGTGTTTTTCCAGAAGAGCCGAAATTTAAAGTTCCAAATTGCAAAATGCAGTACATTTGAGACCATCAAACTCGGGTCGCCTGGCTGGGAATCGAACCCAGGACCTCCCGATCATAGTGCTAGCGTTACAACCACTACACCATAGGAGGCCGACATTTTTGTTTGTTTTGTTTGTCTGTAGCTTTGTCTATACATTTCAATAATCGGACCACCACCAGTTCCAAAGTGCCCTCGAGATCGTGGCCCAGGTCTCGTTCGATTTCAAAAGTTCGCCAAATCTCGTCTTTCCGGGATCAATGGCTCCATCCGAGAATCATCAGTTCAGTCTGGGGTCATCCCAGGTTGGTGGGTTGAGGTCCAGGTACTTGATGCATGTCTTCAGACGTATGAAGACACCCTCTTGAGATGACCGAGTGGCACAGCCGATCCATCCCCCGACTGATGGTGCGTCGACTATGAAACCGCATCTATACTTATATTGTGTTTTCCGATAGCACGCGGCCTGTCGGGGATTCTTGCAGCGATTGCGTTTGTAGCGATCGGGGAGATCGGCATAAGCGTTCTTGGCCGTGATGCAATGAATGTCGGCCTGTTGTTTAGTTTCATAGGCCGAGCCATCCCAGATGCTGTATTGCTTGCACGGGTCGTTCTTCTCGAATTTCATCAGTGCCGCTATCCAGGGATTTTGCCGCTCGGTGAACCTGACTTCGCGCTTTCCCCTCCCTGCCAATACGAACTCCTGCAACAAATTTTCCGAGTGAAGGTTACGACTTTTACGCGGTAAGAAAAAGTAAACATATTTCGATGAATAACACCGTAAGGTGATTCGATGGTTGCCATTTTTTGTGTCAGAACGACGTGCGATACATCGCATCAATTCGTTCCATAATTTCACCTACTTGTGATTTTTTCGAATTTTGAGGTCGCACTTCTGTTGTGATTGGTATGGTATGGGCATGTGCAGAGAATAGCTGATACCAGGTTGCCGAAGAAGGTGTTGGAGTGGATCCCCCCAGGTAGGCGACGGAGAGGGCGTCCAGCCAAACGGTGGGTAGAGGGCATTCATGAAGAGATAGAGAGATGCCAGCTTCCGGAGGATCTCTACCATGACAGATTCCTGTGGAGAATAGGCGTCGCAGAGCGCTCTAGCGCGCCGTAAAAGCGGCCCATACATACATACTTCTGTTGTCATGAGACTAGAAAATTCATGTACCAAATTTGACAAAGAATTCAACGGGTTAAAGGCTGGGGTTTTTCAGAGAGGAAAAATCCCTGCCTTTATTACGTTGAATTTCATTGTCAAATTTGGCACATGGGTTCTTTAGTCCCATGACAATAGAAGTGCGATCTCAAAATGGGCCTGTTGCAAACTTTTGCTAGAGCAAAAATAGGAGTTGTTTCCTATATATAATGCCTCAAAAATCACGATGTGCGCATCGGCAAAGTCTGAAATGCACTCATAACTTCACAATCTGCGTAAGAAATTTGCGTTTTTTTGAGCTTCCCGCTTCAAAAACGATACTACGGCACAGGTGAACATTTTGTTAGAAGAGTCGCTCCATCGTCGGCAATATTCATCATGGCCGACGCTTGCGCAGTTCCGCGCGTATTTTGAGGAGAGTTCAAGGTCAATCAAGGCGGGTGAGGAAAATATGAACGTAAACACGCCAATTGTTATCTAGTCTAATCCTGTTCAGGTGTTATCTCGTCCCATCACAGGTGTTTTGGCGGATTGTCGTCGGCCATGATGAGTATTGCCGACGATGGAACGACTCCTCTAACAAAATGTTCACCTGTGCCGTGGTATCGTTTTTGAAGCGGGAAGCTCAAAAAACCGCAAATTTCTTACGCAGATTGTGAAGCTATGAGTGCATTTCAGACTTTGCCGATGCGCTCATCGTGATTTTTGAGGCATTATCTATAAGAAACAACTCTTATTTTTGCTCTAGCAAAAGTTTGCAACAGGCCCATTCGAAAAAATGACAAGTAACTGAAATAATGGAACAAATCGATGCGATAAATCGCACGTAGCTCTGACAAAAAAATGGCAACCGTCTAACCATCTTAATCAGCCAAAGTACATAATAAAATAACAACTTAATTTGGGGAAATGTTGCAAAGGGGGGGAGGGAGGGCAAATCAAAAGAAAAACCCGGAGCGTTTCGAAATATTCACAATGGCCCACTAGACTAGGTACGACTTTCACCATTCTGACACATGTTTCTTCACCAAAATTTCACGTAAAACACGATGCGCACAACGAAAATTACCGAAATGAACCCCTTCCAAAAATATTTAATGATTCTTGATGCGTGAATTCAAACTACCCGCTCATGAAAACGCAATGCTCCACGTGATTCACATCGCGCGCTAAACGTTATTATGAACGTCTCTGCGATAAAAAAATCTGGCAACCTTAATCTTGACACTTTGGCTCAGCTATATCAAATTGCTGATAGTTTGAAAAACACATGGTAAGAAATGAACATTGCTAGAGTGAGAGGCTTGCTGAAACCGTTGTAGTGCGCGATCTGACTCACATAGAGCTTTGAGTCTCTTGTGAGTGGGTAGTTCAAATTCCTCATAAACAATGTGAAATAAAAATTTTAATACTTATCTACGCTAGGAGGAGTTGGTTTCAGTAATTTTCGTTGCGCGAATCGTGTTCTATATATGTAAAATTCTGGCTAAGATACATGCATCAGAATGCTTAAAAGCGTACCTTGTCTAGTGGTCCATTCCTTCATCAACTGGATACAAATATTAAATTAAAATGAGCCGCCGCATCGATTCCCTGTTACTGTGGGACTGAGGCTGATTACAAGGTAAACAGACTCGGCCTAGAGCGGCAAAATCAAAGGACGTAAAAACCAAGATTACGAAAGTTGGACATTGAATCACGGACTGTTATCATATTTCGATGGTAAAACTACCATTCCGCGCACCTCGGTCAACGACATCGTAGACCTCCTTTCAAAACTTATTTTTTAAGAGCCATACGCAACCTCTATTCTTGAAAACTTTCGGGACTTTCCTCCTCTGCGCGAGAAAATCTTTGTGAAAACTTCAAGGCGTTATGTTGATTTGTTCCTCTTTAAAAAATCAAAACAGCGGACTGATTATTGAAATTGATGGACAAAGTTATAGACAAAGAAGACATAGGGAGTACGGAGCGATCCTATTGGTTGACATGGGTGGTTCCTATAGACAAAGAAAGAAAATGATAGACTAACAGTCGGGTCTCTCGCGAGTTGCCGTTAGTTAGTCTATTACCTACCACCTTTGTCCATTGCAACCACCCGCTTCCACCAATAGGATCTCTCCATATCTCTTTTGTCTCCTTTGTCTATAGCTTTGTCTATTAATTTCAATAATCGGCCTGCAGGTGCGGATAATTTTAAACACCGCAAACGAGATACGCGGTTTGGAAAGGAGGGGTTGCGATTTGGGCCTAAATCGGCCCGTCCACGGAATTGAGAATTTTTTGGATATATTGCAGTTGACGGTGCATATTTGACAGGAATAATCGAGTTTTGCCGATACTCACGTTTTTTGGCTGCGAAGCAGGGGCCTACACAAGGCTCCGAAGGCGAAAATAGCTGAAATGTTGCGTTTTTCGCGGTTCTACCTCAGATTTCGACCTGGGCCTAAAGGCGACATGTGATGAGCTTCGAATATGGTGTCAAGGACACCTAGACACGTAACATACTTGAATATGATCACCCGTCGCCTTTGGGCCCAGGTCAAAATCTGAAGTAGAACCGCGAAAAACATGGATTTTCAGCTATTTCGGGCTAAAAAGTTGGAAAAGTTCGATTTTGAAGTTGGGCCCAAAGGCGACGGTTGATCATATTCAAGTATGTTACGTGTCTAGGTGTCCTTGACACCATATTCGAAGCTCATCACATGTCGCCTTTGGGCCCAGGTCGAAATCTGAGGTAGAACCGCGAAAAACGCGAAATTTCAGCTATTTCGGGCTAAAAAGTTGGAAAAGTTCGATTTTGAAGTTGGGCCCAAAGACGACGGTTGATCATATTCAAGTATGTTACGTGTCTAGGTGTCCTTGACACCATATTCGAAGCTCATCACATGTCGCCTTTGGGCCCAGGTCGAAATCTGAGGTAGAACCGCGAAAAACGCAAAATTTCAGCTATTTTCGCCTTCGGAGCCATATTTAGGCCCCTGCTTCGCAGCCAACAAACGTGAGTATCGGCAAAACTCGATTATTTCTGTCAAACATGCAACGTCAACTGCCATAAATCCAAAAAATTCTCAATTCCGTGGAGGGGCCGATTTCGGCCCAAAGCGCAACCCCTCCTTTCATCGTCGATTTGTCTTACATGGCAAAGAGAGCACAACGTAACACGAAAAAACAGCATTCAGTTTCGATCGGACCTTTTTCTGCCTACAAACTCATCCCTGTGAGCTTAATGCAAACTTAAGCACGATAAGGACATTATCTATGTATCATTTTAACCATCTGTTATATATGTTGAACGTGATCTATTAATTGAATACAAATAAAAAATAATACATGGAATGGATCCTGTAAAATTTTGTTTGATATTCTATGATTTTAATTTTATTCATAAGATGTAAATTCGAATATTATTGATTAATTTGAATGATCTAACCGAGAATGCTCAGTCCTTTCTCTAGAGCCCAATGATAAGGTACAATTGTAAATAGTGTGACCTACATTATGAAGACATAAGAAATAATTCTGCCTAATGAGTTTTTTTTAAAACAAAGGTTTAAAAAAGAAATAAAAATTAACAATAAGATCATGTGTCACATTTTGGTGACAGAGCATAGGGCAGGATATGCTTGACGATGGAGGAAGAAAATTGCTTCAAGGTTTGGTTCATTAGGAGTTAATATTTCATCATTCTGCGTAAAAAATACCCGAAAATTCTCTTTGACCAAAAAAGGGAAAAAAAGAAAGGAAAAAAAACAAGTTGGTTTTTGCAATCGCTAGCGATAGCAATATTCGTCATGGGAACTTTTGCTTCTGGGATATGAAAATTTTAAGGTACAGTTCGTTTGTAGTATCTTCAGAATTGAAGGGGCTATGTAATTTTGTGTCGACATCTCTTTTTTAACATTTTTAATTTTTTTTCTTTGCATACAAGAAAGCTGTTATTTACCAATTATTTATTTTCGTTGGATTATGTATGGTTTTTGGAAGTTAACGCATTTAACTTTCAGTTTCGTTTTTTCGGCGTA